CTTGTCGCGGAGAGAGCTCGGGAGTATACGGGAGCCATTCTTTTTTTATGCCTCTCATTGAGGCAAAATACTATTATCATCATGAGAAATCACTCGCCGAATCGGTTTGATTGATTGACTACTTCATTAATTCGCCGAATCGGTTTACATGTGATGGCCTCTATCTTTCGACGTTGCTAACCAGCTCGTTAGATGAGATTGCGTTTACAACATCGCATGCATCTGGTTGGTATGTATATATCATCCGCAAGAAAAGAAAAGAGAGAAAAAAGTTCGAAGCAGACAGCACTTTTACAAACCAGTTTCAAAAACCACGCGTACTGAAATTTTCGGAACAGTAACTAGGGGAGAATCCGAGTCTGCCTCTCCTTTTGTTCTTTTCTTTTTTCACTTCTTTGAGCTCCTATTATACACTGGAGCGAGAGTGAGAAATATGAAACTAGGCCGTCTTATGCAATGAACACTTCATATGGCCATGGACCTCGGGGCAAACCAACCTCGGGCATATACTACAGCTATTGCATGTTATATTACCACCATGCATAGTCGATTTCCAAAACAATCTCGGGCAAAACATAGTGTCAGATGGTTTGTTACATACATACATACATACATACATACATACATACAGGAGGAGCCCCACATTCCTATGGCGAGTTGGTCACATATATTTGACCTCACTTGCCAGCCAGTTGAGAACGGACCTGAGTGGGGGGATAGGTACCTCTTTGAGGATCGGTATAATATCTCCCCTCACTCTCGAGCTACATACAGGATGTGAAACGCCATATATCATATCAGGTCCTACAAGGAAATTTCAATACACAAACACAAATACAGGGCCAAAGAAAGAAAAAAGATTTCGGAGATTTTAGGATCCAAACCGGCGGTCGGGGACCAGTCTTGGGTCATTCGTCCCATCTTTTTTTCTACAATACGGTGACGATCTGACATCATTTCATTAATCCAAAACCATAGCCTAGGGCATCTCACGTTTTGAAAGAATATCACAACTGATATCGAGTAACAGATGAGAGATGCAACATATAAACAAACGATTTGAGATGACTTCTTTCGGCGACCGATGATCTGATCAGGAGATATCTTTGCCTTGTATAGATGTACATACATCGAACAGGAAGAGAAAAAGCAGGAATTAAATAAATTAACCCAAGAGTTCGAAATTCAGGATGACCGGCGATTTTGCGAACAAAACGACCCAATCAAACGTTATTCACGGACATCGGGGAGGGCAGGAGAGGTGAGAAAATGTCAGAAGATAGCTTTATGTAGGTGAAAAATGATATGGGAAGCCTCTAGTCGATGACAAAGAGCTAACACCAGACAGTATATGTTGAAATAGTAATACCTATCGGTCCAAAACGAAATCACACCCCGTCACCCGACACCAGCTGCAGCTCCCAAAAAAGAACACAATAGAGCGATCGACAAAAAAAATAGCCCGCATGAGCGAGCCCGCCGATCGAACGAGATAGAAGAAAAAAAATTAAATTGTATTGTCCGCCTACCTACCTACATCCACATACATGTCTTTGTTGATTCTGCTCCACAGATTCCTCACAAGGTAGATATGATACATGGAATAGTTTAGGTAGCCAGTGCTCTGTACGACCTCGAGTATAGAGAGAGAGTGTGCTTACAGTAGGTATCACCAACTGCATAGCCACCAATAGTTCTTTCATCTCGCTACCAGTTTATTCTTGTGGTCTCGCCGTCTCTCCCCTGCCAAGGATAGTCCGAGCCATCAAGAGGTTTTTTACTCACACAGCACTGGCAAACGGCCGTTACACAACGGCCTCGGGGGAGAGACCTCTGCCTCTTGTATGCTGCGGGCTACTACTGCGACCACGGGTATGTAATGTACGCGATCAGAGTCATATCGTTATATATCGTATCGTGCAGGAGGAGCAATCATGGGGTACGAAACGAGAAGAATCCACAGCCACATAACTATACATACAATGTAGAGCGTGCATGATATATTGGATATCCTGTTAACCAGTCTCCATTGTGGCACGACGCCTCGAGAATGAAACAAGTCGAAGTTGGGGGGTGGGGGGTGGGAGGGAAAACGAATGAGAAGAAAAACAGTAAGCACCACTCACTACACTGAGCACCAGCTTGGGTGACAGAAAACCCCGGGCGCGCCCTACGTACCTACACTGGCGCGCAGCGGGTATTGCACATAGCCACAGGGTGTTCCAGTGGCCGCCTAGTGGGAGTAAGTTACAGCACTGTATCACCCCCACTAATCCCAAACGAAACGAAAAGCTTAAAGGCACAAATGGCGAATGCAAATGCCTGTTAACTTGACGCCTCCCCGTCAAAGCCTCAACCCTAGCCAAACAGCAACTCTCCAGGGAGGACCCTGACCCGGTAGAAGACGAAGAAGAACTGGAGGCAGAAGAGGGGTGAAGGAAATTAACCAGAAGGAAAGCCTCAGCCGTTCTGTTCGAGACCGGGAAACCCCTCTTCGACGTCACACATATTTCTCTCCCACCAGCGTTTGTCGTCGCTAGGTGAGGGTGGTGAGCAGCAGCAGTGTTAGTCCTGAGACGGACTGCGCCCCGGACCCCGGTGCGCACGATAGACAGTTCGCCAAAACGACGTCAACCAAGGTCCATCCAGCAACAAGTGAGACTTTCAGATGAGGTGGTTGCCGCTTGCTGGTCTGGCCATTCATTTGCTTCCGTTGCCTGAGGGCGCGCAATTCAACAACTGCAATCGATAATTAAATAAAAAATCAAATAAAAAAAAAGTTGGTGGTTTGGCCGATAGTGCTGATACCCGACCGCGATGACGCCAGATCTTCCCTTCTTGGTATCTCGGAGACGATAGCTCGAGCGTCAAGACATAACATCGTCAACGGTGGCCTCTCTCCCCGCCAGGACCCTTCCCTACATGTACATAGGTACTCTATCCAGGCAGAAAAATTGGCTGAATGACCAAAAAACGCGAGAAAAGAAATTTTGCAAAAGCGCTGGTTTAGGCTCTGATTGGCTGCCTTGGGCTCACCACCCACCCCACAGCACGTCACTACACCTCGCGCGTGAGCGTGAGGGTGTTGAGAGAGAGGTTGTTAGGTGTGTTGAGTGGGAAACAACGCGTTGCGCTCCACCCTCCAGGACCCTCTCCCCCCCTCCCTGGTAACTGTAGGTGCGCACCCGGGGATTTCCTATTATTTATCGGCCTTTCCATTCTCGCCAGCGTTGCAACCACCCTCCCCACCCTCCCTTTCACCCAATCTTCTGCCAGATTTGAGCCGCATATCTATCTAATCCTGCGGCGGGGCGCAGTGCAGCTGCTAAGTAGCAACAACAAGCAAAAGCATCAATGACAGACTGGAAACCAGGGAAACTTGATAAAGGTCATCGTCAGCAATCGAGATGGGTGAATTCACAAAAAGGGGTACATACAGGAAAAACAATATCTTTTTTTTATTTTTATTTGTTATTTTTTATTTTGTGAACAAGCTAATTAAACCCCATGTACCGAATACCTATGGGTCACTGATTTTGACTGGACTGACTGTATGTAACGCAAGTACTGAGTACCACAACCTACCCCCCAGGTATGTAGGTACTCTACCTGCCTTACCACCCAGCTAGCAGGGAGGGAGCGGAACCGTAAGGTACAATGATGAAAGACGACGATACTTCGCTAACTAATGTTTTGCGTGTTGTAACAACCTGTTTTTTTCTCGTTGCTTTCCCAACCATCAATATTCAGCCCTCACTTCTCTGTCCGGATTGAGAAGTTCGATTCTCGTCCTATTGGAACGGACAATACAGAATGGGTGCACCGCCCGTCCGCCCCGCGCGCGAGAGCTGTCAGGCATGGCATGGCGTAAAGCAGGAACAGAGCAGGACATAGAAACATACATACGCAGGCAGCAGCTAGCCAGCAGTGAGTGGCGAGAAACGGATGGAAATCGGAAAGAGAGGTGGAAATAAGGGGTGGGAGGGCGGGTATGCATATGTATGCAATCCAATCTGGGCAAGAGAGAGAGGTTTTTCTCATGCCTCTTTTTTCTCATGTCTCTTTTTTCTCGTCTCTTTTTTTTTTTTTTTTTTTTTTTTTTCCAAGAGGGACGATGGTGGGAAGCAGGCACAAAAAATCACAATCACCGGAATTGACACTCTCGCTGATTGATGGAAGGATGGAAAGATGATAGAAAGATGTCACGATGGAAAATGATGGAAGATGTGTTTTTTTTGCAAAAGAGTGTTTTTTATTCTTTTAAACCAGGAACCAAAACAAAAGAAAAAGGTCTTGCTGACTGATAACCAAACAATAAATAAAAAAAAGAACTCGATAGAGTGAATACCCTCAAGGCACCAAAAAAAAACAAAAGAAAAAACAAGCAAGCAAACTAAAAAAGTCCCAAAATCATCTCCCATATTCAACCCTAACCCTCCGCCTTTGCCATTCAAGCAAAACAAAAACAATCAAGTCTCTATCAAGAACTGTCCTTTAATCCCAACCAAGCAACTACCAGATAAAACTCTCTCTTCCCTGTATTCTCGAATCACGTTCATCGGCATTTACGCACGGACGCTGCTCTCTATTGGAAGGGTGTTGGCGGTTTGTTGTTGTTATTATGGGGAAGGAGGAAATCCCGTTCGAGGCAAAAAAAACCGCAAACAAATGCATGCAAAACCGTAAACGATATAGCCGGAGCCCTCTCAGTTTAGTGAGGCAGGCAGCACGGCTCTATCTCCTCCAGAATGGAGGAGTGTGTGGTGTAGTGGGGGGGGGGGGGGGGGAGGGCAGGATGGTTATCGTCAGGTAGGTAGTAAAACCCCCCGACAGCTCATGGTTCCCGCCATGGTGGTTTTTTTCGAAGTAGGACTTCTTCTTCCATCCCTCACTCTTCGTAGTATTGGTGGTAGTACTTTCAAGCACAACAGTAATCGAAGCCTCTTTTTGTTCAAAGAAAGGCCTCCCTTTTTTTTCCGTCGGGACCCGAGGTGTTCCATCTAGAAGTATCTAGTCTGGACCTGGGGGTTGAAGGCGACGCTCCTCCCGCTGCTCCTTGGGCTGGAGCTCAACTGCTGCTCCGCACCCTCAATCCTTCTTGGTGAAGGCGACCTCCTTGAGGAAGGAATGGGAGTAGCCTCAACCAAGCTCAAAGACGAAGTCCTCCTGGGGTCCATGCTGCCCCTTCGCCCGCTTCCGCTCCTGTGAGAGACATCACGCGCGTATGCCGAGCCCCTGTTGACTGGTGGAGGTGAAGAAGAAGTAGGAGTAGCTGCTGGAATGTACTGGACCCTCTCTCTGCTGGTCCTCAACGCGTCGTAGACATTGACGTCGACGCAGTTAGAAGGCTTTCCCTGCAACTTGTGGGTGATTGCGCGGATGAGGCCATCGACTGACTCCCAACCCTCGGGGAAAGACACCTCGATGACACCGCCGGTGGTAGAGCGCGCCTTGTCGTAAAGGTTAACGGCAATCTCAGTAGCAAGCTGGTGGCCGACGTCGCAGAGCTGACGGCTGGGCGACTTGTGAACGGCGTAGGGATCGATGCAAGCGGAGCAGGCACGGGCGTGAACGTTGAATGAGCGAAGGGAAGTTGAGAGACGACTGGAGAGTGCGTCAGTGGGAGCGGTGGGGGTGGTGGCCTGGTGGACCATAGCGCGGGAACCTGGCATGCGCATCTTGAAGATTGGTTAAAAGGTTGTTGTTTTTTGAAAGGATTGTTTGGTTAAAGTGAAGTTCTGTCTTGAAAGTGTCGAAACAGAGACAGGAAGCTGGATGAAGTGTGAACTAGTTGTATTTAACTAGAAGCTATAAGTAATAGTAGCGGTAGTAGTAAGGATGCTGTTTAGGTTCGATGTTTGGTTTACTTGGCTTGTTGATGATGATGATGCTGAAAAAAAGGATGGGTCTGTGGGGATGTGAGAGGGTTTATATCAATCTGTCTGCTGCCACCAGAGGTGAGTAGTAGTGGCTGGCGGCCAGTCGTGTGGGTCTCGCGTCGCAGCAAGCAGACGACCTGCAAGGAAAGGGATGTGTGAGTTAGTCCTCACCTACGCTGGATGTAAGTGTATGGTAGCACATACACCACTCTATAGTACATACATCAACACCCTCTGGTTGGTCAAGGATGCGGCTGCTTGGAAGCCCAGTATGACTGGAACAGCAGGCACATTACTCAAGACGAGACCCGAGCTGTGAATTAGGTCCTTCGTGAGCGACATCTTTTTTTTTTTTTTTTTGGAAAAGCAGCGGCATGACCTCGCTCACCACCACCCCCCCCCCCCCCCCCCCCAGCAGCAGCTCATCCATCACTCCCACACCAAAAGAAAAATAAAAAAAAAATAAAAAAAAAATAAAAATAAATAATCCTTCTCCCACTAAAACCATCACACACCATAACCCTCAAACACCCAGAGTCTCCAAAGAGCAAGCGCCTCCCTTTGCTGCTGCGGCACCTTCTCCCAAAAAGAGCATCTGTCATACCCCCCCCAATCGCACGCGCAGCTGCTCCTTGTGAACACAAGGCCTATTTTGCAAACTCACACACCGTGGTGGTGGTGGTGGTGGTGGGTTGCCTTGCTTGATCGCATAGAGCGAGTGAGCAAGTGTGTGATTGCCATACGTTCAAGCCACTCTAGAGATATGTACTCTGCGCCTCCCCATGATAGGTTGAGATGGGCAGACGGTATCCATTCCCCAAGAGGAATGGCCTAACGGCGTGCTTTCCCTGGGTACGTTGGTTACCGGAGGCCACCGAGAGCATACTCTACTCGTACTGTTTTCACAACTCATAGTCTATCCATCCTGGTACGTCTTTACCTACATACTTCATACATACATTTGACTGAACTGCTGCCATGCTGCTCCTGCTGCTGCTCAGTTAACGAAGCAAGCAGCACCACCAGCAGCAGCAGCAGCAGCAGGTTAAGGTAGAGTACAAGTAGTCGTAATCAATACGCCCTCTCATCTATTTTCCTTTTTCCCCTTCCACCCGCCCCCAAAATATCAAGGAAAAATAAACCCCGGAATTCAAAATATATCCCAAATGACATCCAAGGAAGGAAGGGGAAGGAAAAAGGAACACACATTCTCCGGATGCCCATGCCCGAACGTAATGTTCGACCCTTCATTTTACCCTACCCACACATACTGTCACCGTACCGTAGAATAGACCCATTCCAAACACAACTGGCAGCAGATGGGCTGGCCATGGCTTGTCCGTCGGTTCGGTCGGTCAGTCAGTTTCCTTTTCCACCGCCCCTCCGGGTCGGATCTGCTGCAAAACAAAATCACATTTCGAAGATGTGTGCCAATGATTTGTTTCCGGGTTTTCATTTCTCACCATCACTCATCTGGTTTATCCACACCCTTGGGATTGGAATCATTTTGTGAGGTATGTACCTGTGTGGCTTGGGCAGGACAACGACAGGAAATCGCGATACATGTATCGTTTTATCTATCCGCGCGGAAAGGTTTTGTTTTTGGATCGTTACCGGAAATACTCGCTACATGGTTATGGGAGATGGTAGGTTAGATGTAGCAGAGGTAGATGGCGCCTGGCGTTTTTTTTTTTGGGAAGGGAATTGTTCTGGAAACATTGAGTTTCCTTCCATGGCTGCTCTCCCACCCCCATCTAATAATAAACTAAACCAGACGAATGACAGCGGGGCATTCATCTCTCTCCACAAAATCTCCGCCAGCAACATACCCATGAGGTGTAGTAAGATAGAGCTGGGAAGATTGACGCTTTCTGGCCTGTAAACGGACGGTGAGAACCCGGGAACATTTCACTCTTCAACCTCACTCACTCACACACTTACACATTCACTCACTCACCTCACCTCATGTATGCTGCTGTACCTCGAGGCTAACTCACTATTCCCAGAGTAAACCACCACCATCAGCACCAGTACCCACCTAACCCTCTCTATCGCCGCCCAACACCTCAGAAGTAGCAGCAGAAGCAGGAAGTTCTTAATATGGAACAACCACTTGCCTTCAGAACGGCTAGACTCGCCTCACAGTCTCACTCGCTCGCTCGCTAGAGCAGAGCAGTAAAGTTACAGCACCGAGTTATCCGTCGAGACGACTCGTCTTGGAAGCGTGCAGTAAGCGGCAGGAGCAGGATTAGGAAAGGGAAGCCTCGGTTGGTTTGCCAGCCCCAGTCAGCCAGCCAAGACCAGCTTAGTTGGCTTCGCGAAAGGGAAAGGGAGAGGAGGGAGAGGAGGGAAAAAGGAAAGGTCGGCGCGCGCGCGGCCAGGACAGAACAGACAGACAGACAGCAGGTCGGAATTACCCTCCTGCTGCTGCCGCCATGCTGCCATGCTGCCATGCTGCGTACCTTCGATCTCCTCCTCCCCCCCTTACTATGTACCCACTACCCCCCCCCCCCCTCCCCCCTTCTTTCCCCTAGCCCTCCCCCGCATATGTATCGATAATGGTATTATTATTATTTAATTCTGCTATTATTTTATTTTATTTCAGAGTTTCGAATGCCGTATGTAGAGACGTAACCCGCGGTCGGTATCCTTCCTTATGCCAGCTGGACCCGTTCGGAATATGTGATATATCAAATTATTCCCGCGATACAATACCGACCGAGTCGACCCCTTCCCCTTCCCGGGCTTGAGTACATACTCACATACGTCCACTGTATCAGAAAGTAAAGTAAGGCTTGGTACCCACGAACACGACCACGAGAGAGAGAGAGAGAGAGAGAGAGAGAGAGAGAGATATTCCCTCGTCTCTCTGTAGCACACACACACGCACACACTCACAGCACACAGCTCACACGAGATGGAATCAATGGCCGTCTGTGGATCCATCTGCTTTTCAATCTACACAACCTACATACACACGTACGCTCATCATCAACCTGTAACGTATGTAGCTGTGCCTAGAACTTCTTTTTTTATGCCATTGGAATCCCGCATTCCCCATTGCTCTCTTCCCCGCCGCCTATTGGAAATACATCTTTCTCTTTTTTGCTTTTTTGCTCATACACCCTACTCTACCCCGGGGCTAACCTGCCTGGCCTGCCTGATCAATGATCCGACCTCTCGCCCTCCCCGCCGCCGAAGGGAAACTTCTTGCGGCGATTACCCCAGTTGGGGGGGAAGCATAGTATGTCGTGCAGGGACCACATCTGCTCTACATCTCTTTCCCTAGAGCATCCCATATGTACAGACAGCGCAAGACCAGAGAGAGAGAAAAAAAAATAGGTTCATTTGTATATTTTCTTTTTCTTTTACTTATTTACATACTACGCTGTGGAGGACAGACAGATCACAGACTAAGTACTCTATGCTGCTGTTTGCTCCCGAACCAGTAAGTTATTTCCCATCGGGACGCATGCTACGCTTTGGGATGGATGGGGAGAGAATGTGTGAGGGTCGAGCTGGAGGAAAGGGAAAGCAAAGAAATGCCATCCTCACATACATACATCTATTCCCGCCGCCCACACACCACCCAACCCATCCCCCCCCCCCAATCCCGCATCCGCTATGCATGCAGATAGATGGTGGATGCGCAAGGCCAAACCACCACCACCAAAACCACCCACAACCACACAACCACCGCAGAACTCAACCGAGTCAACCCTAACCAACATAAACCCCCTACCCTACGATGGAAGTAGGGTAGCGCAAAAGCAAAAGCAAAGGAGATCCTCCTGTCTGTCTGGTCTGTCCGTGGGAAATCGAAGGGCAATGCCATCCCGTCAATCACTTACTACTCCCCGACCCCTTCTTCGTTCGCGCGCTTCCCTCTCCCCCGTCTATAATACAACTGTAACCGAATTCTTGAAGGGAAATAACAAAAAGTAGAGATTTCACATCTGGCTGCTAGCTAGCCTGCTGGCTGCTCGGACCCCAGGATGATCCTTTCCTACTCTGGCCTATCGGGCTAGTTGGTAGAATAGTAGCAGGTAGGAGAACTGTAGGTACTAGGGATATCCGGATTCAAACCTCTCTTTTTTTTCTTTTCCTTCCCCGTCTTTCTTTTCCTTGAATCCCGATTCCCCTACCCTATGCCTATGTACTCCTATCATGACGATTCTCTCCTTGTCGAGTCGTCGTCCGCTGTGGTCTGGTCTGGCTGGTTGTGTAATAGAATGGGCTAGGCCACATCCACTCTCATCCATACACAGAGTAGAGCAGACAGTGTAGAACCACCGCCGCCAGCCAGCACCATGTACCACCGGCCACCGTTGAGATCCCACGAAGAGGGCGAACCAGCCCCGGCAGCCCAGCAGCCAGGAGTTCGAGTCGTTAAGCGTTACAGAATATGTACTCTCCGCCATTCCATGAATTGGCATAGCTGACTAGCAAAACCCTACATGATACCCTCTACGAGTACCTACTCACCTGCCCTACTGCCTACATAGATTACCTAAAGACCTGGGGGCGGGCGTCCCCCTCTCACCTGTTCACGATTCATGCCCTCTTTTTTTTTTTTTTTTTTCTTCTTTGGCTGTGCCATGGCCATAGCTTCGCCATGCTCCGTCGTGGGTTGTTAATTGCTCCACGTAGTATTGGGAGCTGGTACGTGCAACAACTATAAAAAAAAAAAAAAGGCTAAAGAGCCGGGTTGCTTTTAATTTTCCCCAGACTTTTCTGTGTTTTTTTTTTTTTTTTTTTTTTTTTTTCCTTTGAGTGCATACTCTCCATGATTGGGGGGC